TATAAACCTCAAGTATAAAAAAAATAAACATCTTTCATTTGGGCTTTTCAATTATTTACGCTATTTACATACGGACTATTGTCCTCATTTATTTATTTATTTAAATTCAAGGTTTGATATGAAGTAGGTTGTAGAAACTAACATATATCATGTTCTTTTTTTTTTTTTAATATATAACATTCTTAATGCGCAAAGGAGATTTCTGGAAGATTCAATAACATTGAAATATTTAAGCGAAGGAGAAAAAATAGGAAATAATAAATCTTAAAGAAAAATAATTGTGACAAAAAAAAAATTGATTACATAAAATTTATTGGTTCTTCCAGAAAGACTTATTCGTAAAAACAACGAAGAAAACTGTCTACAATAACCAAAGTTAAGCAATGGTCATTGCCTAGATGGGTGACCGTTTGTGAATACCAGGTGCTGTAAGCTTGGATATGCGGGTGGTGTCATGGATAACGGATTGGAATTGGAAATCGGAGAGCTGAGTCTCAATTCTAGTAGTGTTCGTTATATTCACTTGCAAATACCCTTGGGAAAGGTGTGAATCCAGCTCTTCTCCTCCTGGCTATAGGTTAATTAGTATTACATGTAAATCATTATTAGCTTCAAAAATATTCTTACAATTTAAAAATTTTCTCGTTTTACATAATCTGCAATGCGTTGATAAGCCGTAAAAAACGAATCAACCAAAATCAAAACTGTCTATTCATTCATGGAGAAAACATGATAATTCTTAGATAGTAAAGAAGAGGAATCTGATGGGGTTCATGATCGCCTATGATAATAAAAAAAATCAATTTATTACCGGATTTTTGTGTATTAAAACCTCAAATGAACTGATGAATTCACGTACTACTAAATAGTTTCTGCTTATACGTTATTTTAACAGATACAATTTAAGTAAATGCTCTGTTGTTTTTTTTTAGTTTTTTTTTAAATAAACGGTATTAATTACATTTACCGCCCTGAATGTTGGAGAAATTTCGTAGAAAATATGCGGTCTCCGATAGGAATCGAACCTGTATCCTATAGGGAAACCATCAATTGAAATAACGTGCCATTCAACTATAGAGGAAACGTCTGGTTCGTAAAGTCCGAAATATTGTTTATAAACAACAAATCTTCGACGATCTTTCCCGAAAGATCATCTCTGCAACGTAAACATTGACAATATCTGAAATAAATTAAGTAGCTGAGTGGTTTGTCTGACGATCGCAAGGGCGTGAAACCCAGGGTCACAAAATCACATCAATACAACCTTATATATATATATATATGTGTGTGTGTGTGTGTGTGTGTAACATTAGTTTATTCTTCTTTATGCGTCGTGCCCCTTTAAGACTTAAGCGATTCAGGTCCGCTATACATTCTTATCCTTTGTACCTCATAACAATGTTTGTTACCTTACTATACATCCCAATTCATGTCCTGCCAATCATTTGAACAAGCTTGTTATGTAGACTATTTGATATTCCCATCTAGTCTTCAAAATGTACAGTCAGCAGCAAATTCTCCAATGCTTCTTTTCTCATTATGTACCCTAGAAATTTCAGCTACCTCTTTTTGTTCTTTTTGTTTCCATTTTCCGTTGATCACATGTTCCGTCCTGGGTATTCTCAACATGCTACTGTAGAACCACGTCTCTTTTGTTTCAATTCCCCACTTCATCTTTGAAGAAATTGTTTAACATTCTGCTATATAGGAGGATTGATTTTATGTATCATTTCAGTACTCATTTTTTTTTTTTAAATTTAAAAAAAAATCTTTTTCTTAATACTTTGTTTAGCTTTTAGGTGTCGTTTTGCTTTTTACTGCGTCGCATTTTCGGCGTCTCCCAGCACACTTCCCAGATATTTAAATTTATTGAAATTATTCACTAAATAACTGAGAGAAAGGTAAAATTTCTCATTCTCAACATTGATTTATTTGTTTAGATTCAGGCTGCAAAATTATTTTTTCTGCAGTTGAAAACAGCATTCATATAAAAAAATAAAAAATGAAATCACGTCTATAGTGGTTCTTTTATTGTTTTATTCTGCATAGTATCGAATATAGACATTCTCGAATATTCTGCATAGTATCGAATATAGACATTCTCGAATATTCTGCATAATATCGAATATAGACATTCTCGAATATTTTGCATAGTATCGAATATTTTGCATAGTATCGAATATAGACATTCTCGAATATTCTGCATAATATCGAATATAGACATTCTCGAATATTCTGCATAGTATCGAATATAGACATTCTCGAATATTTTGCATAGTATCGAATATAGACATTCTCGAATATTCTGCATAGTATCGAATATAGACATTCGAATATTTTGACAATATTCTTCGAATATTCTGCATAGTATCGAATATAGACATTCTCGAATATTTTGCATAGTATCGAATATAGACATTCTCGAATATTCTGCATAGTATCGAATATAGACATTCTCGAATATTTTGCATAGTATCGAATATAGACATTCTCAGCCAATTTTGCATTTGAGAAAGCTAACAGTACACGGGAAAATTTCACGATTGTGCTGTTTAAATTTTCTGATGGATCGTAATTCTTAAGTAAATGATTGAATAAACATCTTGCAAGTTTTATGACTATAAATTACCTTTGGAATGTCTCCTATTACATCGTTAAATATTTGAGCTGAAGAACTTTAACAAAATATTGCAACAACAATCATTAGTATGAATACAGGTCATTAAAGAAAAGAGTACAAATGAAAAGATTCAAAATTGGCATAGTTTTCCAGTTGCCTGAAGCAGACGTTAAATGAATGGGCGCGTTATCGCCTTCTTTATCTTACACATTCTTTCTTTCTTTCTTTCTTCTTCTTATTTACACTTTCTCATTAAAAGCAAACCACACACACACACACACACACATATATATATATATATATTCTTCCTTGCGTCTTTCCCTCGCAATCAAAATAGATTGATCCATTATTTATTTAAGGTAAATACCAGGATGCTTTAACTAACGAGGAAACAAGTAGAATTATAAGATGCTGTCAGTATAGTGATTTCCCACAAGGCCGAAAGTAGAGGGCACCCAGTGAGGATCAAACTCACTTCTCAGTCGTAATTGTTCTAGCGAGACAAGCTTGCTAACCATTACACCGCCTCAAGGTGATCTAAATGGTGATTTTCTAATCGTAGCTTAGATGTGGTACAAGGCCGAAAGTATGGGACACCCAGTGAGGATCGAACTCACTAATTAATCTAGCGAGACAAACTTGCTAACCATTACACCACGTCGAAGTGCCCTATGATTTTCTATGAGTGTGTATATATATATATATATATATATATATATATATATATATATATATATATATATATATATATATATATATATATATATATATATATATGTGTGTATGTGTGTATATATATATATATATATATATAACTAGACTCGTTTCGAAAAACCCTCGAATTTTTGATTTGCTAATAATCAAATCAATCTCGAAGGAAAAAAGGTTTTAAAAAAAGAAAGAGCTACAAACATGAACTTCTGTCGGCAAAAAAATCGCACAGATACAGGTCTGAAGCCTAAAGAAAAAAACCCGATACGAGTAAACAACTAACTAACAAAAGAGCTCAATACAACCGTAGAGCAGACCTAGATACACCTAGTGAGCCAGACAAACCTACCTAGGTTTCACCTAAACGGATCGTCAGGGAAAGTAAGGCTAACGAGGCAAAGAGAAACGCATATTTATAGGCGATAGCTAAAATCATACCACGTGACCAAAGAACCACAAACACAAACCTGCGTTGTTTATCAAGTGAAAATTTACAAAAAT